TAACAGATATACATATCAAATATATTCTACTGCAAGACTACACTAATTTACACTAATTGCGAAAAATGAATTTTCAATCCGTTCCACAAATTGTCGTCCCTGAAGAATAATTACTACTATCATCCGTATCATAATTTTCTTCATAACTCCAATCATAATCTCTAAAATAATCGTATTCTATTGTTTCTACATCAGTATCATAACTTTCATCCTCCATCATCACTTGACAAGTTGTATTGTTATCATCATCATCGGCATCAATACAAGTTGGCAATGAACATGTTACGGGATTGTCGAAAGTAGTAAACGCAAAGATTACTGCGGCCAATATTATAAAACTTATCGATATTGGTCCAACCATTATTTATTTGTTGCTGTGAGGCGTAAATTCTTGACAAAAGTTTTTAATTTCCTTTTTTTTTATAAAATTTAATAAAAGAGAATTATTTGAATAATTGTTCTTAAAGAAAAAAAATAAGTCATTGTTACCTTTTATCTAAGAAATTAAGTTTTGAGGATTGGTTGTGTATTGTTGACGATATTGGTATTGCCACGAAATATTTTCAAAGTATTTATTCTTTTTTTTTTTCGAAAATAACGAATTTTTTACCTCTCGAAGATAATAATAATGCAAAAGTTTTGAGATAATTATTATGTCTAATTTATATAGTTCTTCAATATCAGTATCTAATCATCGGATCAAGTTAACTCACATGGATTTGGTTTGTTTCTTTCTTGATTCAAAAAAAAAATCAATATTATACTCACATAATAACAATACAATTTTTATATTTATTCCCCGTTTTTTTTTTATATAAAATTAAACATGGTTTAAACATATATATATTTAACTTGAAAAAATTCCTAGGAAAGGTAAAGTTAAAATGGTTTCTTGGAACCAATTATAATAAACAAATTATTGCGGAGGTAATTAAACATGTGATATGCAGGTGTTTATTATAGAAACTATATTGTGGCATTGAAAATATTCCTTTAAAAATTTTTACAGTAGGAAACATTGTGTGGATGACATGACATAATTAAAAATATTAGATTTATTTTTGTATTTGAATTGTACTGTGATTATATATTTACGTGTTTCATATGCATTTTTATTAAAAGGTTAGTTAATTTGTAACGGATAATAATTCTTTTCCTTTCAGAAATCATTATTAAGGCTACATAAAAAATGCCTCATTGAATAGAAATTCTTCTATATTGTCTGTCAATATTTTATTTTGTCTATCACTGAATATTAACCAATCAGATTAGAGATATACTTTACCATCCAAATTTAGTAGAGAAAGAAAGAAAATGAGAAAGCGAGAGAGAATTCCACATAAAAAGATTATTTCCCATACACAAAAGAACAACTTTTATCGATAAAACTTATATTTGACCTCATGGTTTTTCTTCAGGAGAGTTAATGCATACACATACACATACAAAGATTAGTGATTAATAACATAAAATAAAGAGATCAAGATCAATTTGATCAATTTATAAATTTAGCCTTTGAACAAATTTCTCATTTTTCAAATTTCAAAATTTCAATATCAATAAAACTTCGCCAATCAGGTAATCTTTTACATCTTTAAAAACTAATAATAATAATATATCGATCACGCTTGCATACGTCTATTGAATCTAGAATTTTTTAATGCATATGCATTTAGACAAATATATTATTCTATCAGTTCAATTATGCGCGACAAATATTTTTGGTTTCTTAGCCGCAGGTTGATTGTACATTCTACTGTAAAATTATTTTACATATACCGTTAAAAAACTTAGTTAACAACTTCTTGACTCATGCTCTTTCTCCTCTTTTGGTTATTTTATTATTGGAATCTTAGATATAAGTAGTATAAGTATTATTTGTATTGTCATTCTTTTCGAATCACAAAACGAAATATTTCTTACAGCACAAAAGGAATTTAGTGAAGAAGCAAAAAGACTTCTTGCGTGACATCATTCAAAATAAACACAAGGTGAACTTTTTTGTAGAATTAATTATAGAATACAATCAACTGGGCCTTGTCAATTGAAATATCACAGAAAATCATGTTGCTCAAGGTATAATATATTCACTCTAATTTTATTTTTGGGGTTAGTAATCAGAAGATTGATTGGTATGATTATTTAAGAAACTAGAAACTAGTTAATAATATTTATATAAAATAATTAAGCAAGGGAACATTTATAAAATTTATATTCTTTTTAATTGACATTATTTTGTACAATTACTTAATAAATAAACTTTGAGTGGTACTTAACTTTCACCAAAAAAAAAAAAATTATGTTGGTTGTTTTTGGGAGTAGTCGAATTTGGAATACCACAAAATCGTTTCCTTTATGTCTGAAATAGAAGCTTCGGTCAATTATATATATTTCTCTTTATGTAAATTTAACAAAGGGAAGAGGTTTTAATTGGTCCTCTCATTTTTTTGAGCGAATGTCTATTAATAAATCAAATGTCGCCAATCAAATCATTTCATCGTCACGATTGTACAAAATAAAAATAGAATTTAGATAAACACAAATCAACTTATGTCATGGCTTTTATAAGGATATATTAATTTGGGACCGCATTTGTTATTTATAAATCAATTATTAATTAATCACATTATAATTTAGGTAATTTACATTCTAACTAATTGTTATATTACAGGAAGTAATTTCATATAATTTTCTAATCAATTATTAATTAATTGAATGCTTATCCTATTTGTAGTCTGTGAAAGTATTGATTTATATAATTATTGATGTTAAAGTTGTTGATTGTTTTAATTATTTATCAATTATCATTTTACACTTATATTATATTACAGGAGGTAAGGTTTTAAAATCAATATTCTAATATAAAAGTGAATATTTTAACCAATTGCATGTGTATTCGGTTCTATTAAAGAAAGTAAGTATTGAAGTTCATATTTAATTCAGTGGACCCCTCTACAAGCATACCCCTCGGGACCAAAAATAAAAGGTGTGATTATAATCATATAGAGGGATTTTTATATAGTATTACTAAGTATTGGTCCTCACGAAAGGTGCGCTTATAAGTGGAGATTTATATGATGGGATTGTACAGGAGGAGGTCCACTGTATAGAAATTTCTAATAAATTATTATAGATAATAATACATTTTAGTGATATCAAAGGATATGGAAAATGTAATGAGTTTTACAATATATAAAACTGGATAAATTTGGTATAGAATAATTTATCCATTTAATTTTTATTATTTAAATTATTTTTATTAATATTTTAGATCTCGAATTTCGAGGTGAATGGGTGGTGGTGGGATCCGTTTAAGGCCTATCCGGATAGGTACTTTGGCATACGGATGATTTTTTTCGGATATCTGTACGGATATCCTCAGGTATCCGTTCAATGGTCGTTGCATATAAAACTTTTATTTTAGTAAGTTGATCTCAAAAATAATACTAAGTAACCTTAAAGAAAGAATATATTGTGTATCATATTAAAAGGACAGACCTATGTCATAAAATTAAAATAAATATTAGCAGTTAAAGTTCGAACGGGCAAAAAATACAGTGGATGCAAATAATTTTTGTCTTGAAGTTACTTAGTACCATTTTTAAAATTCACTTACAATATAAAAAATTTTATGTAGCAACGATCGGCTGTTTTGTGTAATTACAACATAAAATCGTCAATAGTTGTTACATATTAAATTTTTTATATTGTAAGTGAATATCAAAAACGATCCTAAGTAACTTCAAAGGTAAGAATGAATTACGTATTATATTTAAAGACAGACGTACAACTTCAACATTGAGCGAAGAATTGTCATATAAATTTTTTTTCGCCCGTTCGAAATTTAACGGCTAATAGTTCTCTCAAATTTGGTGATATAAGTCTGTTATTTTAATATAATACGAAAATCATTCTTATCTTTAAGGTTACTTAGTACCATTTTTGACATTTACTTATTAAAATAAAATGTTTTATATGTAGTAACCATCAATGATTATTTCCGATTCTTATATTTTTATAAATATTATATATCTACGGATATATATACGGATAAGTACAGATAATCATGGATACAGATATTCTCGGATATATCCGGATATTTAATTACGGATATCTGTGATAAAGATCCGTTCGCGGATAAACGGATATCCGGACTATAAATCCAATAGAAATTAAATATATGATGTGGTAGTCTACGAAATTTATTGAATAATAATTTTAAAGATTTAACTTGGAAATGTAAAATCACAAATTTTACTTCATGTAATTGTTGGACTTGCTAATATTCATGAGTCTTCATTCTGGTAATATATTAAATTACTTATTTTGGTTTGTGTAAATCAGTTTCTGAAAATAATCAAGGCGTAATTCTATTAGACATTGAATGATCATTTTAGAAGTTTCTACTAGTTATCCACCTTATTATAATATTCCACATGATGAAGCTAGAAAATAAAATTATTAAATATTTCTCTAATTTTAGATAAAAAAATAAAATAAAATATTTATAAATTACAGCTTTTTATCTCGAATATTTTTTATATATTTATTTTATTTGATCAATTGGGAATATCTGATATAATTTACCCTTATCAATAATGATTATTGTTAGTTTTATTATTTTTATTATTTTTAAATTACAAATGTAGTTATAAAAATGTCATGATTAACATAATTCTAGTTTTCCATCATTTGCTGGAGATTGTGATTTTCAAGCGTTATCCATTAAGAATGTAGATGATAAAGAAATTCGATAAGTGCCTATACTTTATCATTGTTGAACGATAGAGCTTCAAATTTATTACCACGTGTTTTTCATCAAATCGACATTTTGGTTTTTATTAAAATAAAAAATTTAAAGCGCGATTTTCAATAATTCTCCTTTAGTATAAAAATGGAAGGAAAAAAGGTGGGCACTTTTTCTCGTGCCTTGATATTTTTGATTTTTTTTTTTTTGAAAAATTCATTAAATTCATCTCAAAGCAAAATAAACAAGAACGATGTTATTAGAACCAGAAATTCAAGATGCCTATACTCCTCTAATTGACGACTCTTCAAAATCTATTCCTCAGTATAATTCTACATCTTCACCTAGTTCTATTAGTTCCATTGATAATTTAAATAGCATCATTATTTCATGTGACAATAATAACAATAATATTAATATTAATAACAATAATCATAATAATAATGTACTTAAATCGCAATCTGGAATTACTATATCGACTTTAATTGGTCCAGCACGCCTTGACCGTTTTCTGTTATTAGTCAATTTTGGCGTTTTATTGTTTGTAGGAAATATGATATATTTTTCTTTGAATGTAAAATATTCAATTTTTCTTTGGCATCCGATCTTAATGTCTGTTGTGACTTTAACATCAACTGAAGGTATTTCAAACTATTTAATCAAATTAACTAAATTAGCGTTAAAAAAATACAAATAAGATAATTAAAAAGGTAATAAAATTTCTTTTTTTTAAAAAAAAAAAAAAAATTAACAAAATTACTAGGTATTATAGTAATACAAAAAGTAGTAAAGAAAAATGAAAAAATCAAAGGGCTCTCTTATCATAAATGGTCACAGATTATAAGTATTCCTGTATTTATTGTTGGTATTTCTGTTTCTTCTTACGTTAAAATTCTCTACAATGCATCAAATTGTAAGTATTATTATATTTGTTGGTGATAATTCTTGATAATTTTGATAATTGACAGTATATTAATAATTTATTACCATACTTTTCAATTCTTCAATTCTTCACTCTCTTTAACTCTCTTATTCGTATCATATATCAACTAGTTACAACACTTCATGGAATAATTGGATTAATTTCAATAATTCTATTCATAATTCAAATAATTTATGGGTTTTCTATTATATATTTTCCAAATCTATTTGGTAGATTATCAACGACCAAGAAAACTTATAAAATTCATAGATTATTCGGATATGGTTTATTATGTATTATTTGGATATCAACAATTACAGGTATTCAAAGTACGTTTAGTTTAGGATGGATTTGGATTAGTTCATTAATGATGATTTTAATAGGTATTTTTGGAAGAACAAAGTTAAACAAAATTAAAATATGGTAAAAAATAATTTATAAATAGATAATAGATATTATAAATATTTTTAGATTTATAATAAAGAGTTTTTGAGATTATTATTACTACTATTACTATTATCCCCTTACCAATTATTATTTACCATTTACCATTTATCATTATTTTTTATTAAAGAAAAAAAAATAAAGATTATATAATATACATATAAGATTATTATTATAAGTCAAATTTAATCTTATCCATTGTTTCATTCATTAACTTATTCCAATCTTTTACATTTAATTCACTCATTACAATAAATTCAATTATAACTTTTAATAATTCTTCAGTTTGTAATATACCTTCATGATTTCCTTTTAATGAAGTATTAAATTCTATATTGATTCCTCCACAATTCTTTAAATATAAATAATAATTATAACTTTGATTAACATCTACTAATTCATCTTCTTTTGAATGAATAATTAAATATGGAGGTATTTTATCAATACCTTTAATATTATTATTCGTAAGTGATGATTTCTTGTAAAATAATTCATCTTTACCAAATGCTGGTTCTATATACTTAATATATTCTGGCCAAATTTGAAATAATGAATAAACATCATAAATTCCTTGAATACCAATTACACCTTTAATATATTCTGATAATTTGGGATTATGAGAATCAAGAAATTCTGGAATAAAAATAAGTTGACCAGATATAAAAGCTCCTACACTGTGACCCGCTAAATAAATCATAGTTTCTTGAAATCCATATTCTTTACCATGTTGAGATATCCAATAAATTGAACTTGCAACATCTTGTACATGAATTGGATGTTTAATTTCTGGATTCTCTTTTGTACTTAAACGATAATTTACAATCGCTATAGCGAAATGACTTGATTCACAAAGATTATGACCCATTGTTGTAAAATCATTTTTATCACCAGAAACCCATGCTCCACCATGAATTATTACAATAATAGGTGGTAATAAAGATTTTTCATCATCATCTTCTTCTTCAACTTTATTTACAAATGGAGGTATAATTAAATCAAGTGTTTGTTGTGAATTAGTAGAATTGGGAATGTAAGAAATATCTTTATAAATTATTGGTAAATTCATAATGAATATTTATTCTTCTATTAATCTTTAATGATTACTTGTTATCTAATCAATATTTTTATATATGAGAAAAAATAAGTTTTTTATTATTTATGTAACATACCACGACATTAGCGTGTAAATCTTTAAAGAACGGAAATTAAAACATTACGTATCTATATTTTTATATACAAATATGTATTGAATAATTAAACATTATTATTATTATTTTATTATTAATATTATTATTTTATAATCAATATTATTATTTTATTATTATTATGAATAAAAATGAATATAATTTGAGGGAAAAAAAGAAAAAAAAAAAAGAAAAGATCAAATTAATAAAAAAAAAAAGGTCACGACATTCTAAATTAAACATCATGCACACAAGTTAGTGAATAGGTGTTCAATGATCTGTTGAACAAACAAATTTATCATTGTTTCATTATAGATGATTTCACAGAATTCAATAATGCGTTTTATAAATCAGATAATGATAATGAAAAATGAAATATTCAAAGAAATGAGCTTTGAGACAAATGAAATATTCCGAGCAATGAGTTTTTAAACTAATGAAATCGAAAATAATTCAACAAAAAGAAAAAACAAAATGATATGTTTTTCACGGAACCTAAATTTTATCCAACTTTTACTATTTTGAATACGCATATCTTGAGTCATCCTTACTTTAATCAATTCAGATAATGCAGAAATTATTATTTGTAAAATTATACACGAAAAAATAATCAGGTGAACAGGTAAATTATATATTTACCCGTGTAAAACCAGGTATACCCGTATATAATATGTCTCTACCCGGTTGACCCGTAAAATAAAGAAGCAGTTGACCTGGTAAGGTTTTTAGTGATAGGTCAAATCACTAACACAAGTATCTTTGAGACAGTGTTAAACAAATAAATATCGTGATTAAAGGAAAAAAAGGAAAAAGAGCGTTTAAATCAAAACAGAAATATAATTATACTAAGCCACTTTACAAAGAATCAAGTGATATGTTCAAATATAAACATACATGTGATTCAATATAAATAAAAGTGGTTCGATTTTTGTTAATATATAGCTGACAATTTATTCTATTTAAATGTATATTATGCAATATATTGACCTTTGGCTTTATATCAAATATGCTAGATCTAAGATTAATATACAATCCACGTTTATTATTGTGTAATTTATTCCTCTCGAGTTATTTAAAAATAACTAGTTTAAAATCAGGTAATAAAAATTTGTATTGCGTGGTGCGAAAGGGATCACATATGATAAGATTTTAATAAAATTTTTATCAAAAGAACTACATCAAGGAACACAATTCATATTTATAACCTTTAAATCCAATAAAAAGAACAATTAAATCTCAATCAAGTAATACTCATAAGTCAAATAAATTCCCATTTTTAGATCTCATACTATGAAAAGAATTCATTAGAAAGTTAAAATTAGGTTAAACGCGAGTTGTTTAAGGTGTTTACATGCTATTTACATATCATCTGTAAAAATATTATGTATTCATAATAACATTTAATAATGAGAAAATTAATATGATGCGCCATTCAAAATCCTTATTAAGTAATTTGGATTTATTTAATAAATTTCTTTTCTTGATCAAAATGAAAATATTTATAAACACTCCGATTTAAGTTCTCCCACTCAACTCTCCAATAATAAAGTTTTATTCATTCAATAAAAAAAAATGATGCATCAAAATAGTCAAACTAGTTTCGTTTTTATCAATTCTAGTGACCCAACTTTGCCAAATCAAGTGATTAATGACAATACCAGCCCGTTCTTTAAACCTCCGTTTCCTCCACTGATAAATCCACGTGATCTTATCTCTTTATCTGAAGGTCGTACTCCAGCGAGAGCTCCAAATGCATTCATAATTTATCGTAAATTATTTATTCAAAATACTAAAGATGAAGGATATACTTTACCCATGACGGTAATCTCAACTATGGCATCAAAATCTTGGGAACAAGAACCTGATATAGTTAAAATTGAATATAAAAGAATTGCTAAAGAAGCTTTTGATTATTATTGTGAAATTTGTCCTAAACAAAAACAACATGGAAAAAGAGAAAAATGGAATATTGTTTCTTTTAGTAATTTCGGTAATAGCAATAATAATAAAAGTAACAACAATAAAAAGAACAATAATAATAATAATAATAGTCAACCTAAATCTACTATCAATAATACGCGAAAAAGAAAATTAGTTCATAAAACTAATCTAAATAATCTGCATTAATACAAATTTTATCTTATTTATTTTATTTTATTTTATTTATTTATTTTATTTATTTATTTGTTTATTATTATTATAGATCAATTCGAAAAATAATTGTTTTAAAGATATTAGTGTGAATTTTATTTTAAATTTTGAGGAGCAAAGAAAAAAAAAAAAAAAGGAAGGCAAAATCTAAAAGTTTATTGTGAATTCACAACAAAACTTTGACTCGAATATTAACGAAAACTTTTTATGATAAAGATAATATATATAAGATGGCAAACATTATAAGCACCATTATTATTATTCTAAGATCAAAAAATAATTAAGGATTCTTAAGATCATGAGATTATTAATTGTATAATATAATAAATAGTAATGATCAGACAGAATAGAATAGAACAGAAAAATCAAGATTTACTGAAATTTTGAAATGATAAATATTATAATGTTGTTTTATACTTTATATTAATCTTATATTGTTGTTTGCAAACAAAGCAAACCCAATCAATTCAATTTAATTTCAATTTCAATTCAAGATCAATAAATATTTTTTATCATCTACTCAAGATTAAAAAGATTAAAAAATAAATTTTCAACCATTATAATAGATACTGATAAATGCATCAAAAATATTTCATTAATCTTTCCTTGGGTTGATTCAAAGCAAATATTTTTGAGCTCATGTGAATACTGGAACAATTATAAAAGTTGCATAATATAAGGCATAAAAATTGCAAGGCAAAATTATAATCCTTTGGAGTTCATTTTTTTCATTTAAAATTGACAATGAACAAAAGTTCAATTCTTCAAAAACTTTTTGGAACATGAATTGATGTATGACATTTGATTGCGAAAGAAAGAATTAAAGAACTAATAGAGTAATAACAAATACCCAAGAATCTGCTGAACAAGTTAAATATTTTTGTTTTTTGGTTAATAAAATGTTAGTTGTCAAATAATAAAATTTGTATATGAAAATTACCTTTTTTGAACATAAAATAAGAAAAGAAATATAAATTATTAAATTAAAATTTGGTATCATTATTATTGTTGTTATTCTTAAAATTATTTCGCCAGTATTGATGACATTGAATAGGTGACCTACGTCCAACATGTGCTGAAACTAATTTCCATTTCTTTCCGTGCTTTTCGTATGCTTCAATAAATGCTTGTTTTTCTTTGTCACTCCAACGTCCACAATTTACATTAGGATTGCAAGATGGCGCGGTGATAAAATGTGATTTAACATTTGCTAATGTTCTACGTGGAAAATATTTCATAATCTCACCCCAATTTTCTCCATGTTCTTTAAGTGCTTTATGAAGTAAATTTTTATCTTCTATCGTCCATTTGCTATTAAGGACATGTTGATCATAATGATTTTGAATGTAATTATTTGGACGATTCATTAAGTTGGAAATTATAGCCCAATTTCTTCCATATTTATTGACTAATTTAATAACCAATTTGTGTTCTTCCTCTGACCATCTGCCACGTTTAGATTTTATAAGAAGATTCCATCTATTAAATAATTGTGCATCATCTCTTCTTGGTAATAATGTTGAAATTATTGACCATTGACCAACACCATATCTCAATACCCCTTTTTTCAATATTTCATCTTCTTCAGTAGTCCAAGGATTATGATATGAAGTTCTTTTAATTTTTTGTTTTAATAAATACCATTTTTTTTCAACCGAGCCCGGAGTTCTTATCGTTTGAAAACAATTTTTAGAAATATAATCCCATTTGGTTCCATATTTTTCAACTGCATCAAGTAATATTTGTTCATCTTGTTCCGTCCAAATACAATAATTACGAAGCTTTTTCCCTGTTGTGGTTAATGCCTTTTTATCATCATTAATCGAAATTTCATCGGTTTCCTTTTTATTGTCATTATTAGAAATTTCCTTTTTATTATTAGAAATTTTTGGCGTTTTATTGTTCCTTGCATAACAGATGGGGGTCAAAGAGCAAAACTCATTCTTGATAAAATAAAAACTTTTAAATATTGGTCGAGTTTTCGAAATAATAAAATTCACATAATTGATATGCATCTTAAAAAAAAATTCTCAGATCAAAAACTTTTGATTTCCTTTATAATCAAAATCCGTTTCACGAATTTTAAATCTAAGCCATTTTTATTTTTACAATCATAAAAAAAATTTTTTTTACAAGAAATCGAAGTATGATACGTTTCAAATGTATATATTTGCATACTAAATTCGTATTTCAAAATGTAATAAAAAAATAAGAAAAGAGCATTTCTAAATTCTCAGATTATCAAAATAAGCATCTTGAAGTTTAACCATTTTTTTTTTTTTTTACAATTTTCTGTTAGTTTTACTTTAGAAATTGTTCATAAAACCATAAAAAAAATTAATTGATCTAATGCAACTAAAATATTTATTCACATTGATAGCTTTATTACAATCTTTTATTTTAAAATATATCAATTCAAAAAATAACAACAATAATATTATGCATATAATCAAAATGTTATGAAGTAACGAAGGAACCAAAGACTAAAAATTTTACATTTATTTTAAAGATTTAATATAGATTTCTTTTGCCATTCAGATCAGAAAAAGGGAATTATTTACATGACATGATTAATATTAAATATATAATATCCGAACTTTTATCGCTTGATATTGAAATGTGCGACAAATATTAACAATCAAAATTTAATAAAATAATAAACAATGAATATTTTTACGCCAAATGAAACATAATTCTGTTTTAAAACAAAGTTCTTTATTATTTGCAATGCGTGGCATGTACTATTCTATTTTATATTCGAACATAGCACAATAAATTTCTTTCTATCGTGTATATACCACGATATAATCTTTTTTTTTTTTTTTTATAAAATTTTTAATAACTAATAATTTTTTTAATAAATACCAACCTTGTCATTTTTATTTTTCCATTTTCCCTCTCTGTTTTTTTTTTTGCCCACTTGATTATAATTTGTAATTTAAAAATGGCTCATAGATTAAAACTATTTAGTGGAAGTTGTTGGAACGTAAATAATATGATCGGTTTGGTTTGTGATTTTCTTCTTTCTTTTTTCTAAATTTTTAATTTTAATTGTTATTAATAAATAATAATAGGAATTTTCATTACTCCCGCGATTGTGGGAGGGCCATGGGTTCACCAGGTGCAACCTTATTGGTTTGGATAGGTGGCGTAATAATAGCAATGTGTGGAAGTTTACGCTTTGTTGATCTAGGTTTAAAATTTCCAAGAAATGTAATATTACATTTTATTATCTAATTATTTGTAAGAATAAAGTATTAATTTAAAAAAAATTTAAGGGAGGAGAAGCGAAGTATTCCCTCATCCACGGGCAATTTTTTATTTTTATTTTTTTTGTGAAAGAATATTTTGCCTTCTAGAAGATAATATATTATTTTTAATGTATTTAATAAATATTTTATGAAATTTTTTTTTGTCTAAGATCTCGTTATGAATTACTTTTTTTTCTTCCTTTCTCTTAAAAAGGCATAATAAGAGCCGGGGCCATTGGTGCAAGCATTTGCCCAATATTACTGGATTGCGACTTTTAGTCCTTCTGTTATGATTGAACATCGAGAGCTTTACAATACCTTGAAAGATTTGACGTTTTGGTAAAATTTTTACTTATTTGTTTATTCATTGTTTATTATAATTTAATTAATTCGTATAAATATTTCTTTATAGGCGTTTAACACTCATTGCGTTGATAACTTTACTTATAACTATAATGATCAACGTATACTCTTCAAAAATCGCTCACTGGATAAACAAGATTCTTGCTGTAATCAAAATATTAACCATTTAGACTATAGCAATTATTGGACTCGTTAAAATAAAAAACAGTACCAATTGGAGTGATGCCTTTAAAAGAACTGACGAAACTGATATAAATATAGTCGCGGTAAGTGTGATAAAGATTTTTATTTAATAAATAAATTCGTTTTAAGATTTGTTTTAAAAGTATTTATTTTTTTTTATCGTTCAATCAATAGATACAAAAGAATTCATGAATGTTACTATTTCGGTCAGGATCGTCAGAGTTCTATGTATAATCATAAAATGTTTGAGTCATTTTTAATCATTATATTTAAATAAATTCATTTATTTATAGATATCTCGCAAATATGGCTTTTATATCGGTCGTTGATTATCTACTAATAACTCAGTTATAGTACTCTATTTTGCCAATGGAATTATTACAGTTTTTGGGATAATATTATCCTTTTGGTACCTTGGGATCACTAATTTGGAGGTTTGAACTTTTATATTTCACATATCCTAATATCTTCAGCATTATGTACGCAAAAAAAATATACGTATATTTAATTTTGTTTTTTAGTGGTTCTCTTGTCATTGTCACTGCTGATCATAGAAGATATTTCCCAGTGTTTTCTGACAAACTTAGAAGGATTAGTAAACGTGGAACTCCCACGAATGCTTTGATATTCCAATGTTTTTTGAGCGCAATTGTAATTATATTAGTAGGTGGTGTCCATCCCAATTATCCCAATTCATTTCAGATTTTGTATTCAATGGCGCAATATACTTCTATGGCATTATGGGTAAGTATGCTTAACAAATATTCATTTTTTATATTTTTTGAAGAATACTTTTCTAAATATATATATATATATATTTTTTTTTAAAGAGCATTCAACTTAGAAATAACGAATGTGGATTTTTGGTGGTGGACCGTAATTTCTATATTCATCGCTTGTTCTCTTTACATCACTGTAGTTTCATTCGTGGAGACTAATGATTCTGAAGATCCTAGTAATCCTAATCGTTTTGTTCCCATTATTTACCAAATGTTATTAGCCTTGGATTTTTAGTTATTGGGTTTATATCTTGGATAACTCTTTATTATTGGCGGAATGATAACTCAAACCCAAACCAAAATCCAAACCCAAGAGAAATAGAACTAGGACCCGATGAAGATCCAATAATAGTAATAGATTAACACAAAAATTTTTTATCAAAATTTCAATATTATTTCAAAATTTTTTATTTCAAAAATTTATTATTTATTTATAATTCCCTATATAATAAAAAATTATTTATTACTTAATTTAATAAAAAAAAATAATGATTCCCTACTCTGAGCATAAATCTATGCTTTAAAAACAGATATGATAATTTTTTTTTGGTACTCTTGCACATTTCACGTGGTTCAAAAATCTTTCAATCCCAAAAAACTTTATTTTTGATTTTCAGTAAAAATATATAACAAACTTCGATAATTCATTTGTATAATCTCACGAATTTTAAATCTAAGCCATTTTAAAAATTTTGAGTTTACAAGTAAAGTTTACATAAATAAAAAATATGCGTTTACACCTTCAAAATATTAATAAAGATATCAAATTTATTAAAAAATTTCTTTGAAACATGATTCCGCTGGGAAATTTTTTTTTACAAGAAATCAGAGTATGATACATTTCAAATGTATATTTTGTATATTTGCATTATTTCAAAATGGAATAAAAAATAGAATTTCACGAGATTCTCGAAGTTTTCTGTTGGTAAAACTTTAGAAATTATTCATGAATCGAAACCTTAAAAAAAATTAATTGATCTAATGCAACTAAATGTAATTCATGATGCAACTAAATGTAATTTACGATGCAACAATGCAGTGGAAATAAAAAAAACATTGATTACTTTATTAAAAACACGTTTATGAATCATTTATAGATTCCATTTTAAAATTTACACATAAATATAGGTAATAACTATTTTGAAATTCTCAATTTCTTTATTTTAAAAATGTATCTATAGAAGCAAACTATATATCAATTCAAAAATAATAACAATAATAATATGCATATAATTAAAATGTTATGAAGTAACAGAAGAACCAAGACTAAAAATTTTGCATCTATTTTAAAGATTTATTATAGAGTAGAAAATGCATTGTATTATTAGAATTTAGAGTAATTATTTTACGAGATTTTCGGTAACTATGGCCAATCAAAATCGTGAATTTTTGTTTATACGGATCAGCCCGACGAAGAAAAAAGTGAAAACACGAAAAATACAAGAAACAGATATCTAAACATATCTTGGTGTATTAATAAAAAATGTCGGGGAGGCAATTTTACATATAATATATACTTACCCTAACCCTAACCCTCATCATAATATTAATTAATTTCTGGTAATCATGCGATGGACTCTGCTTTAGACATCCCCGATGAATCGAATATAGTCAATATTGAAATGTGTGACAAATATTAATAATTTTCTAACAATGAAAATTAAAACACAATGAACACATAATTCTGTTTTAAACAAACTCTTTATTTACAATTAGTAGCATGTGTCACTCTAACATTTATGCACAAACAATGAATTTCTTTCTATTTGTATATACCACAATATATTATTTTTTTATAAAATTTTTAATAAACAATAATTTTTTTAATAAATACTTTTATTTTTCCATTTTCTTTCTCTATTTTTTTTTTGTCCACTTTTTATAATTTTTAATTTAAAAATGGCTTATAGGTTAAATATATTTTCCGGAATATGCTGGAATGTAAATAATATGATCGGGTCAGGTTTGTGATTTTCTTTTTTTTTTCTAAATTTTTTAATTTGAATTGTTATACAATATAAATATAAGTGTATAAATAATTAATAGGAATCTTCATTACTCCCGCGATTGTATGGAGGGC